GATGCGGCGCTTGACCACGACTTGGGCCATCGCGTGGGACTCCCGCCAGTGGGCGGAGGCCTGGGGCTGCCAGGTGGTTGACAGCGTCCTCGCCCAGGAGCGGCCGCAGGAACTGCGGCGTGAGAAGGTCGTCCGCGCTCGAGCCCGGCGCGCGCGACGCGGCGACTGCCAGCGCCCCGCGAGTCATCCAGCTCCTAACCTTTAGCTTCGGGATCAGTTCTCGAGGTCTAACTCGCGCGCTCGCTGGAGGGAAACCTCCGGGCGGTCGGGAGCCGCGGCGCCCGCGATGGGAGACGCGGGCGCAGGGCGCTTGCACCCGTTGGCTGCCGAGCTGGAGCACAACGACGACACTATCCCACAGCGCAATTTGTTCCACCCTGGCAATGAGAAGTTCGCACGATCGACAGGGCCACTGCCGATGCATCTAGATTCCAGCCCTTGCCCCATTAACTAGACTCGCCCCCTGCCGGGCATAACCTCTCTGGACCCACCACGGGCGCGCGCCTCGCCGCGGGCGCGTGCCGGCGGAGGCGCAGAACTTCTCTGCACCCCTGCACGGCCCTCCGCTTCCGGGAAGGACCTCCCTTGACCCGCTGGCGACAACCACGCGACCGCGCCGGCCGAGTAGGCGTCGCCGCATTCTGGGTGCTCACGTCTGCTGGCGCAGGCTGTTCTCCTGAGTAGTGGCGAAAACTACTTTCTGGGCGCGCATCCGTTCCCGGGCGCCCTTCGCCCGCCGGCCGCTGCGGAACCCTGCCTTCAAGGCCCCCGTGAAATCCGGCGGCTGGGGCCCCCCTGGCGCCGCGCAGGCAGCGATGCGCATGCGTCGGTCAGCGCAGCGTAGAACTTCTCTAGACCCTGCAAGCTCGCGCTCAGGTGCTAAGCTGCTAAACTACAGATGAACAGAACATTTGTTCTGCTCGACCCGCAAGGCGCCACGCCCCTGGGCAGGGCCCCCCTGGGCCGGCAGGCGCGGGGCCTTGTAGCAGACGCGCCCCTCCGACGCCGTCCGCGACCTACTCGCGCCCGCGAACCCCCCCCCCCACCTCAGCGCGGGCGCTCGACTGCGCGACGGCCGCCCCGCCGCAGCCCGCCTGCAGCTGTTCCTCTGCAGCTGCGGCACCTTCTTCTCCATCGTCGCCCTCCGCCTTCTCTGCGTCGAAGTCGGCAAGCCCCGCGCCGACAAGGGTGCCCGGGCACCCGCGGTCTTCGCGCCGGCGACGGCTGGGGCGCAACTGCAGGCCGCGCGAGTCGCGCGGCCCCAAGCGCGGGGGCCCCGGGTGCGCCAGCCGATGGCGCAGAGCGCACTCGGCAAGGGAGCGTCCGGGGCGATCTCCCGCACACCCACGGCAGCCACTGGCGGCCCGCGCCCGCCGACCCGCCCTGGCAGCCTCTGGGTCGAGGCTTCCATGGCGCGCGCAGTCCGCGACGTCTCGCAGAGCGCGCTGCGGCGCAGCCATCGCGTCTCTGCTGCGCCCCAGGCGGGCGCGCCCCCCGGGGCGGCGCGGTAGCCCAAGAGGCGGCGGCGCTGCGTGTCCACGCCCGCCTTCGCCGCCCGCGCTAGCAGCGCGGCTTTCAGGGGGGGCGACCCCGCGAGGCGACTAGATCGTCTGAGGCGTCTCCTCCTGAGCCAGGGCGCGGACCCAGCCGGCCACTTCGTCAGCGGCCATCCTGGGCGCTGCGAAGCACCCGTCGGTGAGCACACCGCGCATGAGGCAGGGCGCGCGGAAGTGCCTTCTTGCGCCTGCCCGACTGCCCCCCGAAGAAGGCCCGGCACTCGATGATGGAATGGCCGCGCCCACCCTCGACAACTGGCTCGGGTCGCAGCTCGGCGCCGTCGCCGCCGCGGGGCCGCGCGCGCGGGGGGGGGCGGCAGGAAGCCGCGGGCCATGCGCCTAGCCGTCGGGGCGCCCGCGCGCGCCGCCAATGCCGGTTTGCGCCCCCAGGCTTCCGCGGTGGACTCGGGGGCCTCCCGGCGCGTGTTCGGCGGCGGCTTCGCCCCCAGACCTTGCGACGCGACGCCGCTAGCCCGGGGGCCCAGCGCCCCGCCGGGCGGCGCCCGAAAGTAATGGCACAAGTAACTGGCGGCTTCCAAGAAGGCCCGCCCGCGCGCGCGCGCCCAGCCGTTGCGGCGCCGAAGGCATCGGCGCGCCGCCTCGGCGTTCAGCGGGCCATCTGATGTACATCGCCATGGGTCCCGCCCCCCCGCGGAGGTCGGGCGCGGTTTTTATCGCCAAGGTCTCATCCGCCAACGCCGACCGGGCGGCTTCGGATCCCCACCGTCAGCTACGGCGCCATGCATCGCGACCTACTTCCTGACAACGGCCTTCCTCTCGACCGCGTCGCGCTCGCCAGGCGCGGGGCCGGGGCGCCTCCTGGCGGCGGGCCCCCCACCTCCACCGGGTCTGCGCTGGCCGCGGGCGCGCTGTTTGGCGCCAGCGGAGGCGGCCCCAGCGTGGCAAACGGGCCCGGGGCTCGCCCGCCGTTCGGCAGGGCCACGCCCGGCGGCGGCTCCGAGGGCAGCCGAGTGCCAGACTCGCCCTGGCCAGCGAAGAGCGCCCAGGCCATGCGACCACCCCCTCTACTTTACAGCGGCCTGCACAAGCCGAACTTCTCGGCAAGCCAGACGTCGTGCTTATTGCTAGCTGATCTTCTCGGCTAGCACCCGCCCGCCCACCCTTGACCAGCAAATGGCGGCGGTGATTGCCCGATCATTGCATGACGCATGGCTTCTTAAACACCTAGCCTTTGATCATCGGGTCGCCCTTGTGCTTGCGATATTTTTGTAGAATTACACTTTGGCACATATCGAAAGAAAACTGTTGATGCCCATTATAGCTTGGTCGGTCCGGGTAGATGCCTTATCATTGTGGCCATCGCCAGATACTTTAACTAGTATGCGTTCGGCATCCTCTATGACTTGTATGGCTCCTAGACGCTCTCGAAATCCAAACACCATGATTTGCCTCATGCGCTGTTCTGCGTCGGAATGCCCGACGGTGGGGACGTCGTGGTCGTGCTCTTCCTCGATGGCATTGATTTTCGTGTCCATGATGTCGAGGTGCTGGTTGGCCTTCTTGATGTCGTGCCCCACTTCTGCGACTCCGAATTGTGCAGCGCATGCGGATGGCTGGGCTGATGTTGCAGAAACACGGACCTCCTGAACGACCTTGAGGCTCTCGTCGACCTTGGTCGTCAACCCGCCCAGTCGTTCCTTAAGCTCATTGACCATTTGCTCAACACGGTCCGGTGCGGGTTCAATTTTCTTGTGCTTCAAACTGTCAGGGGAAGATCCGGGTCCTCCATTGTGCGTGCCGGGGAGTGCCATCGCAATCTGCGAGTTGCGGGTAAGATAAAAGTGAAGTAGAGACGAACGAAGAGAACTCAAGCGGGCACACTTGGGCAGACTTGAGCCAGACTTGAAGCCCAGAGACCCCTCAACGGCCCCAGTAGCCTCCCCCAAGGCACCCAGGACGCTACAAGAGTCACCCGGCGCCGCCGAGAGGCCCCCAAGACGCACCAAGGGGCTTACAGAATGCTGCCGGGAGACATCCGAAGAGACCCCACGAAGCATCCAAAAGGCCTCTGGCCTTTCTGCTCGCCCTCTTCCTCCGCCTCCTCCTCCTCTTTCTCTTCCTCCTCATCATGATCCACCTATTATTCCACCTCCTCCCTCCTCCCTTTTCCTTTTCCTCCTCCTCCTCCTCCTCCTCCTCCTCCTCCTCCTCCTCCTCCTCCTGCTACTTCTCATCCGATTCCGATTCCTCCTCCGTCCTGTCCCTCTTGGGGTATTACGTCTTACCCGGCCCTATATTCCACTGCATGCTCCTGCACATCCGCGCTCACGGAGAATCCTCTGGGCATCGTTTCTGGATTGGCTGGTGGGGCTACTGTTTGGTACGCGGGGGCGCGAAGCGAGTCGAACGCCGTGAAAGCAGGGGCAGGCCGTGCTACAAGCTAAAGAAAAAACGAAGAGGCGAGCAACGCCATGCACATTGCGGGACGGAGCTCAGCGCAGCCAAAATGGCGCGGACGGCACCACGCGGCACCGGGAGGCTGGTGAGGTTACGCGAAGCGTCTAGTTGTCTGCGTCCTGGGGGAGGGAGGCTAGCCTTTCGCAGGCCTCAAAGGGGCTCTGAGGGCGCCCCTGGGAGCCTGCGCCGGGGCCTCCAGAAACTTCTGGAGACCTACGTAAAAGGGGAGGGGGAGGAGAAAAGGAGGCGGAAGGAGGACTTCCTCATGCTCTTACTCCTCCTCCTCCTCCTCCTTCTCCTCCTCCTCCTCGTCCGCATCCTCATCCGTATCATCATCCTCGTCGTCAGCCTCGTCATCATCATCATCATCATCATCATCATCATCATCATCACCACGACCACCACCACCACCACCACCACCACCATCACCATCACCATCACCATCATCATCATCATCATCATCATCATCATCATCATCATCATAATCATCATCATCATCATCATCAGCAGCAGCACCAGCATCAGCACCACCACAAGCACGATCATCATCATCACCATCAGCAGCATCATCCTCATGCTCATCACCATCATTATCAGCGTCATCATCAACATCAGCATCATCATCAAGCTCTCCAGTATCAGCATCAGCATCAGCATCATCATCATCGCAGCAGCAGCTTCACCATCGTCATCGGTATCGTCGTCGTCGACGTTCTCATCATCATTGTCATCGTCATCAGTAGCAGCATCATCACCATCATCATCACCATCAGCATCATCACCACCACCACTACCACCATCACCATCAGATCAGCATCCTCATCATCACCATCATCAACAACATAGTCATCGTCATCATCACCACCACTATCACCACCATCTCCACCATCCTGAACACTTTCTTTGATGTCCTTTCCGACCTCTCCCCACCCCCCACCGCGCGCGCACTTTTGCTGCACGGCCAGATCGCATTGACAGCGCGGCCCGGCCAAGCCAGCGGGCGAGACCTGGCCTCACCAGGGCGGCTCACTGGCTCTCCCAGTCCTCCAGGATGGAGTGGGCCTCCACGCTGCGCGCGCAGGCCCCGTCGCTCCATCCACTCAATTATCTGCATGCTTCGGTCGATCACTCTCGCCCTCCTCATCTTCGTTTTCATCATGCCGTCTCTTCCCCTCCTGCTTCTCCTGCTTCTCTTCCTCCTCCTCCTCCTTCTCCTCCTCCTGCTCCTCCTTCTCATCTTCCTTTTACCCATGCTTTCCTGCTGCCTCTTGCCTGGAGGTCCTCATCACCTGCTGCCCGCACCATGGCCTCCTTGAGGGCCTCGATTTCCTGGTTGCGCTTGGCGACGCGCTCCTCGTAGGTTTCCTGGGCGAGACGCGCACGGAACATCGACGGGGCGCGTGTACGCGTACCCTCCCCCGACACGTTCGGCAGGACGAGGCTCTCCCGTGCGATGTGGGTAGTGTAATGTGCAATCCGGTGTGAAAAAATGGGCACAAGATGTCCTGAGCTTGTTCTTGTTCCGTGACACGTGAATGAAGCAGATCGGGCCCAATAATCACGTACTGCGCTGTCACCGCTGCCGCCAAGATATGGCCAGTGCAATCAGAATTTGTGCTCCACGTTGTTCCTCCTTGTCTGCGTGGGTGGTAAGGAAAGGATCGAAAGGACCGCAGTGACTAGAGGGCCAGGCCTCAACATCTCAGCATGTCATGCTGCGTCACCGCAAAATCAACATGACCCATCAGGCCTCTCATGAAAAATGATACCCCGGCTTACGCAACAATCACTGGGCATCCACGTGTGCGCCATTACACAAAACTGACAGTTCAAATACTCGCCCATGCATCCTCTCGCGTCTCACTCGAAAGCCACATGCGCACGCACGCTCGCGTGCACCCACTCAAGCTGACACGAACACGCACACTTTCGGTCGTCACGGCCCGGCGACTCGCCAGGGCGTCGGGCGCCCGCGCGGTCGGAGCCGAACGCGCGCAACGAGGAGCCAGAAGAGAAGCAGGCCAACGGCGAGCAACTCGCCCCTCACGGGGTCGTGGCCGGGTGTGGCGCCGGGGCGCCGGGACAGCTAGGCAGCGGGGGCGGCTGCCGCAGGGCGGGGGGGCCGAGGCCGGGCTGGGCAGCGTGGCGGCGAAGCGAAGGGTGGGGCGCCCGCGATCGCCCTGGAGTGCAGAAAAAACAAAAAGGCTCGCAGGGCCGCGACTTGCCTGCCTCCTCCCCCCCTCCCTCCCTCCCTCCCCGCCCCCCCCCGCCTGGAGGGGCGGGGGCCGATGCCGGCGCGCGCCCCTCCCTCCGCTCGGTGCGCCGCGGGCTCCTCCTTCTCGATGCAGTCCGCGCGCAGCGCCTCCAGGGACGCCAGCGACAGGTCGTGCGCCTCCGCCGCGCGGCGGGGGGCCCCGAGGGTCCCCGCCACGCGCCGCCGCGCGGGGCGGAGCGGGGGGTGGGGGAGGAGGTGCGGGGGCGGGGAAGGAAGGGCAGGATCAGTCGGCGCCGAATCGGGAAATCGGATCGGGTCGGAGCGTGCATCAAATCGAGCCGCATCGGCGCCGAGTCGGAGTCGAGTCGGATCGGCTGCGCCAGGATACACAACAGCGCCATGCAAGCGTCGGTCCTCATCGGATCGCCCGAAAAGCGGAATCGAATCGTTTTCGCTCGTTCTGCCTTCGTTCCGCCTTTGCTGCGGAACGAGACCAAAACGAAAACGGCACCAGAAATCGCCAAAACACCGTCTAGCTCGCGCTCTCATGACTGGGCAAGTTCAACCGAACGGGAGGGGTGCGCGGGCGGGAGGGGAATGGGAAGGCCGTGGGAAGACGGGAGAGGACGGAGGGACAGAGGAGGACGGGGCAGGACGGAGGGGGGAGGGAAGAACACATGGAGAGAGGAGGGGCTGAGGGCTGAGGGAGGGAAGTGAGCATGGGGAGAAAGAAGGGAGAGGACGGAGCGGAGGGAGGGAGGAAGGAGAATACCGAAGAGCCGCGCGCGCTCTAACACAACAAGCGATACCCACGCGGCGACCAACCCTCCTCCATTCCATGCAGAGCCCGGCGGACGGGCGCGGACGCGGACTCGGCATCCTGGTTGCGAGTACGGCAGTTGGCGTCAGCTCTGCCTCTTGGGTTACAAGGGCGCCACGATGCCGCACATCTAGTCAGTGTCGCACCGTGCTTCCACTTGCGCAATGGAAGTGCTCGTAAACGGCAATCGGCGTTGAGCATAACCCTAAAGGCTGCCCTCCTCTTCCTCCTCCTTTGCCTCATCGTACTGCTCCTCTTGCTTATCCTGCTCCGCTTGCTGATCCTCCTCGCGCTCCTGCGTACCTCCCTGGCAGAAGATGAAAAGCAGGGAGCATGCCTCCTATTACTGGGCATTTCCGGCCTGCTCCTCTTGCTCAACCTCCACCTCGTGATGCTGCGCACTTCCCGCCTGCCGTCCAGTTTCTCCTCGTTCCGCTCCTCCTCCTCCTGCTCATCCTGCTCATCATCCTCCTGTCCCTGCTCTTGTTCGAGTTCCTCATCGTCAGCGCCTTTTCCTCCTCCCTCCCCTTCCCCCTCCCCAAGGCAAAGAAGACCCATGGCGACGGCACGGGAGCGTCGCCCGAATGCCTGGAACCGCTGGGGCTCGGCCATACCGCGTCCAAAACTCGCCAGACCGTGGAAGAGCTGAACTTGTCATCCAGACGCGCTGGGAACAGCTCCTCTTCCTTCTCTACTCATCATCATCATCATCATCATCATCATCATCATCATCATCATCACCATCATCATTAGCATCATCATCAGCATCGGCATCAGCATCAGCATCATCATCATCATCCATCATCCATCACCCATCATCCTCAGCATCATCATCCTCATCTTCATCCTCATCCTCATCATCATTATCATCATCGTCGTCGTAAGAAGAACCAGCAACAGCAACAGCACAATCAACGTCACCATCACCACCAACACCACCAACATCGTAATCATCATCAGCAGCAACGACACCACCATCACCATCACCATCACCATCACCATCACCATCATCATCACCACCACCACCACCATCGCCACCACCATCATCATCAGCATCATCCTGATCGTCATCATCCTCGTCATCATCAACACCACCATCAGCATCCTCCTCATTCTCATCATCATCATCATCCTCAGCCACATCATCAGCATCATCGTCACCATCAACATCGTCCTCATCAGCAGCATCATCATAATCCGGATCATCAACACCATCGTGACCACAACAACCAAAATCAGCATCAACAACCTCATCGCCACCAGCAACCGCAGCATCCTCATCATCATCATCATTATCATTGCCATGACCATCATGATCACCATCATGATCACCAACATCATCATCAGCATCATCATCATCAGCATCATCATCACGACTATCAACATCATTATCATCAGCATTATGATCATCATGATCATCATAAGCATGATCATCATCAGCATCGTCATGATCATCATCATCAGCATCTCCATTGTCAGCATCATCATCATAATCAACATCATCATCGTAGTCGTCATTGTCATCGTCATCGTCATCATCGTCACCATGAACAGCAACATCACCAGCATCACCATCACCATCATCATTATCATCACCATCACGGTCACCCTTATCATCATCATCACCACCACCACCATCATCTTCATCATCATCATCATCGTCATCGTCAGCATCATCATCAGCAGCAGCAGCATCAGCATTAGCATCATCATCATGTTAGATCAGAAGTATCACAAAAACCAGCAGCAGCATCATCAGCATCATCATCATCATCACCACGACCACCACCATATCAGTACCATCACCACCACCACCACCAGCGCCATCACCACCACCACCACCATCATCATCATCACCACAACCACTACCACCATCACCACTACTATCATCACCATCAGCAGCAACACCACCACCACCATCATCATCGTCATCAGCATCGTCATCATCATCATCATCGTCATCAGCATCATCATTAGCATCATCATCATCATCAGCAACATCATCATCAATATCATCCGTATCATCATCCTCATCATCATCCTCATCATCATCACCATCACCATCACCATCATCATCATCATCATCATCATCATCATCATCATCATCATCATCATCATCATCATCATCATCATCGGTTGTCCTGAGCCTCGCCCCATCGTCCACATCCTCCTCCTCCGCCTGCTCCAAGATGGGAGGAGGGAGGGGAGGAGTGAGAGGATGGCAGGGACGAGCAAGAAGCGAAGAGGAGGACAAGGAAGGAGAAAGGGGACAAAAGAGAAGGAGGACATGAAGAAGGTGGAGGAGAAGGAGCAAAAAGAGAGGATTAGGAGGAGGACGACGACGATAACGAGGACAGGGAGAAGGGCGAGTACGAGGAAGGAGGAGAGAACTGGCGAACAGGGCAAAGGGGAGAACGAGGAGGGAGTCGAGATGGGGAAAGGAGGAGCAGGAGGAGAAGGAAAGCGAGGAGGGTCGAAGCTGCTCCTCTCAAACCTTCACCGAGAGAGATCCTCGCCCTCTCTGACAAACGAAGATCACACCCATGCCCATAGGGGGGGCGGAAAGGGTTACGGGTGCGTGTTGTCGGATGGGGGCCCCCTCTCGAACGGGAGCCTCCCCGGTGTCGGACAACCCGCCCCCATACCCATAGCCATTCCTCGTCCATTCGAGACCCCCTATGGGTATGGGTGGGTGTTGTTCATTCGTCACTCTCAGTGCAGCCTGCGGAGGGCAGTGCGGCGCAGCATCCTTCTCCTCACCGAAATCGGGCAAACAAAAAGATGTCGATTTGATCGTTGGCCGTGCCTTGACAGAATCGCTGAGCTCGGACTCGAGCGTCAAGATATTCTCGTTCGTGACCGTCAACGTGCTTGCCTTGCCGGTCTTCTCGGTGTCCTGAGTACTACCGGACCCGCCGCGTAAAATACAAAGAACTGCCGCAACTCCGCAGAGATGGCAAGCAGGTAGTCGGAACTCCTCCTCGACCTCGTCCTCCCATCGGCATCCTCCTCCTACACTCCATCCTCGTCCTCGTTCTGCGCTCCTCGTCCTAGTCCTCCTGCCTCCTCTCCCTTTCGCTCCTCGCATTATGTTCCCTAGATAAACACACATACTTATGCAAGCGTATGATGTTCCCGCCGCAACTCCGCGCAGATGTTGCGTGAGCGCGGCGGTGCTGCGTCCGCCAGGCGCATGCTTTTGGCTTCGCCACTCTCATCGGGAGCTTTGCTGGGCGAGGGAATGGCACTCGTCGCGTCGCAGCGCAAAGATCTCCGCGAGGTTCCGATCCCACCCGTGGGCGGCCCGTATTTATCTCTCCCTTGCAAAGAATACAGATGCACGACCGCGCGCGAGCGCCTTCTGTTCAAGTTGCGCCAAGATTGGTTATTACGTTATGGGAGGGAAGATGGGAGTGGGCGGGACCCGCTGACTCATTCGACCTGGCTAACTTGACTCCACTCCTACCTGTCATCCCTCCGCCATCCTCCCTGACATCTCCTTCCCCATTCCATCCCCCTCGCTGGTCCCTCCTGCATTCCTCCCTCAAACATACTTCATTCGCGCTCCTCCCGTACACCTCCTTCCGCATACATCCTCCCGCCGTCCCTGCTCCTCCCTCCTCTGCGCCCCACTTTCTCCTCACTCCACATGTTCCTCCTGTATCTCCTGATCCTCCTCCTCCCTCCTCCTCCCTCCTCCTGCTCCTCCTCCTCCCGTCCTCAGACTGGTCATCATCCTCCTGGTCCTCGTCATCATGCATTTCCTCACCCTCCTGTTGCTCCTTCTCCTCATTACAAAACCCTGGACTCTCCCCCTCCTCCCACTCCTCATCCCCCTCCTCCTCCTCCTCCTCCTCCTCCTCCTTCTCTTTATCCTCTTTCTTCTCCTCCTCCTCCTTGTCCTCATCGTCTTTCTCCTCCTCCTGATCATCCATACGTACCTCCTCATCCATCCCCTCCTGCTTCTCCTCCTTGCGTGCTCTCCTCCTCATCATCCTGATGTTCCCAGTTCTGCTCCGCATCCTCCTCGTCGTCTTTCTCCTGCTCATGCTCCTACTCGGCGGTGGCTCCTTTGCTGCCGTGTCCGCCTCATTTTCCGTCTTGAACGTGGTGAACGAGCCCTCGGCCTCCGGTTGTCCGAGGGGCAACCCGTAGAGAGCTCCGGAGGGGAGAGGGGGGGGCAGGGAGGGGGCAATCGGAGCGCTGCGCTGCGAAATTGCCGCTCGGGAAGAGAAGCGAGAGGGAAGGAAGGCGATGAGTAGGACTCGGGCGAGGTCGAGAGGGAGGAACACGAGGGAACGAGGGAAGCACTCTCAGAGTTGGGGCAACCCCAGTCCTCCTCTACTGCTTCATCCTCCTCCTCCTCCCTTTCCCTCTCTCCTCTGGTCTCCCTGCACTTCCTCAACCACTGCTCATCTTCCATCGTCTTTCCAGACTTCTGCATATAAGTATCTCCCCACTCTCCGCCGCCGTCTTATCCTGCTCCTACTCATCCTCCTCAGTCCTCCTCCTCCTCGACCTCGGGGGGGAGAGGAGTGGAAGGTGAACGGGAGGAGGGGAGAGGCAAGGGGAGGCCTCCGCACAACATGTCTTGGAACTGCTGCAAACCCTAAGCACTCCTCAGACATGTGACATCCTCCTCATCATCATCTCCTTCTCCTTCCTCCGTTCTTGCTCATTCACCAACTTCATGCTCCTCCTCATGCTCCTCCTCCTCCTGCTGCTCATCTGGCATTCCTTCCTCGCACTTTTCATTTCTCCCATGCCTCATGAACCCTCTTTCATTCTCCTCCATCTCCTCGTCCTCCTTCTCCTCCTCGTCCTCCTCGTCCTCCTCCTCCTCCTCCTCCTCCTCCTCCTCCTCCTCATTCTCTCTCATCGTTCTCCTTCGCCCTCCTCCTTCCTTCTCCGTCCTCCTGCTCCTCCTCCCTCACTTTCTCCTCCGCCTCCTCATGCTCCTCCTACTCTACTTCTCAACCGGCCTGGGACTCCGCTTCCTCGGTGGCCGAGATGGTGCGCTGGAAGTCGGCCTCGATCACCTGCGGCGGCTGGGGCTCCAACGGGGATGAGGTGGAGGCGAAGAAGGGAGAGAGAGGGGACGGGGGAGCGGGATAGGGGGAGGAGCTGGAGGTAGAAGGTGAGGAAGAAGACGTGGTGGAGGAACCAGAAGAAGATGATGATGGGAATGACGGGGATGGTGATGGTGGTGCAGCCGACAAGGAGAGGGGGAGGATGAGGAGGGAGAGGAGGACCAGTGCAAACCGAAGACTCATCAACGATGTTGTAATACACCCTCCCTCCAAATTCCCTCTTCATAGGCTCCTGTAAAAATCTGTTGTCACTGCGGGAAGAAACCCATTGGAGGACAACTGTCTGAAAATGCTCAACGGTGCCAACGCATCATTCCTGGGACTTCCGCGAATCAACGCCGCGAATGAAGATCCTAAATCGTGCCAGGGCACCATTTTTGGGAATCCCGCGAATCAGCGTGACCGCTGCGCCCTGGCAATCCTAAATCGTGCCAGAAACAATGTTTCTGGGACGTCAACCAGAAGAAGTCTTGACACTGCTGCAAACTGTTAAGACGAATGTGCGAGGCACAGAAGGCAAAACCCGAATGTCGAAAACAGCCCGTCCTTTATCCGATAAGCCTTTGTCAAAACGAGAACCACATCTTGAAAACAGCCCGCCCTCCGTCCGTGAAACTTTTGCAAATTCCAAGCTTGAATATCATATATATATATATATATAATGAAGAAATGACAAGCGAAACGCCCAGCCCGCCCTACCGACCCGTCTCGGGGCATGGCAGGGAGGAGTTACTCATACGGAAGAGGGGTGGAGAAGGAGGGGTGATGGGGGAAGGTGTGGACCTCTGCTCGACCTCCGAGTCCAATTCAGCACGAGCGCCCAGCAATGCCTAACAATCCTACTTCTCCTGCACCTCATGGTCATCCCCCTCGCTGGTTTCCCTTCCCTTCCCTCCGTCTACTCCTTGGCATAATCACGGTCATCCCCCTGGCGGCCCTAATCATCGTGCTCTGGTATATTCCGTCGTCTCGTCTGCCCGTCCTCCCTCATACTGTCTCTCACGTATCCTCCTCCTTCTCCTTCTGGCTCAGTTCTATCGGAGGTGGGACGATAGAGGGGACCGGCTCCGAGGGGAAGCATCGAACTTGAATCGACGATACGTCGCCGATAGATCGGTAATAGGCCTCCGACAGCAAATCCGAACGTTCCTGTGCGGGGCGGGGAATCGTCGGTGATCGATGGTGGATTTGGGGTCGATGCATCCCTCCCTGTAACGCTGCCCCTGATACTTCTACTCCTGACTTAGTCCCATCCCTCCATCCCTCCCCGTCCTCGCTTCCCCTCTTTGACGCAAACTGATCGTCTCCCCCCCGCTCTCCAACGGCAAACTGCCTGCAAGGTGCCGATGATACCCTTTGATGCCTCCTGCGACCCGTGATAGTCCGCATCGAACACGTCCTTCGCTCGCCGCCGAGTTCGGAGCGGGAGTTGGAGGTCCCAAAACGAAACGGTGACAGACTGTGCGCGGACCTCGGAGTCCCGGAAGAACACACCGCGCGGTCCGTCACCCTGGAGGCCCTGGGCAGCCCGGTCGCCTCCCCTGGACCCTGGAGGCCCCAGTCGCCCGTGAAGCCCTCGGAGAACGACCCAAGGCCCAAATCCGTGCGATCACCCCGAATCCCCGATGACTCACCACGCACATGTGGTCACCGCACGCTTTGGGGGCCCCCGAAGGAGGCTTGCCGGGGAAGGGGAGATGGAGGAGGGCGAGAAGAAGGCGCGCAGGACGAGGCAAGCCAGAAAGCCAAGATGGCGAACCCGCAGTGCTATCGGCCCCCTGGGCGAAGAGCGCGAGTCAGGAGATTGGCAGACGCTTCGATTGTGGACAAAATGAACTCCAAGCGACAACGGGGTCCTCCTCTGTTTGACACCTGATTTTGAAAACCAGATGCGCAGGCAGTCCCGCATGGAGAAACCTTCGGTGCAGCGGGCGGGCGCCAGGGCGTCAACACGGAGACAAGACTCTGCACAAAGCCTGGCGGCTCATGGGGTGGACTCGGCGCCGTGGATGGCAACACGGGCGAGCATGCAGGAGTCGCAGATGCGGGAGCCGAGACGGAGAGGACGGACGCCGGAGAACAATAGCGGTGAGAGGGGAGCCGGAGTGGGAAACGGGGGGTCGGGTGTTGCCACAGTGTGCCTGGCCCAAGGCGACCAGCGAATTTCCTGGGAGGCCCCCATGGCCTCTGGAGAACCCCTCATCAGGCTCCCGAGGCCACCGGGGGTCCCAGAATGAGCCCGGAAGTACTATTCGCGCTTGTGAAGCAGTTTAGGCCAGCTCAATTGGGAGTGGGGGGGAGAAGCAAGGGGCGCTAATCGATTAAAACAGAAAAGAAGAGCGCCCTGCAGACAGCACTTGTGGAGGCGGGCGCCTTTGCGAAGGGGACAGACATCTCCCTGCCCCCCACAGACCCTCCTCTTCCTTCCCCGTCATCCTCCCCCTCTCCCTCGTCCTCCCACTATTCCTCCTCCTTCTCTCCTCCCTCTCGCCCTGCTGCTCCTCCCTCTCCTCCTCATCCTCCTGCTGCCCCTCCTCCCCAAAGGTCCCCTTCAACGTTGGTGCAGAGCTGGACACCCGACGACCCCGACTTCTCGCAACGTCTGCCTAGCGCTCGCGACCTGAACAAGAACCGCGAGCGAATGAAGGCCGGGGGAACCTTCAGATATCTCAGCCTTGACAGAGGGAAAAGGAAACCCAATCAGAGTAAAGACGATGAGAGGAGCGTGAAACTTGATTTTGTTATGGATCTCCTCGAGGAGGGGAGATCCCTCAACCGAAGAACTTCCTGCCGTTTCACCCGTTACTTCTAAGCCTGATCTGATGCCAGCGGCCAGGCCTGGCGCTTACAACCAGACTGTCGGTGCCAGTCGGTGTCCAGCGCCTTGCCACCTAGGTGGCAAAGGATAATTAGGTTGAGGATAGCACGACAAAGTGCCGAAGCTTCGAAGTGTTGCTAGTTTCGGAGGAGGCCACCAAGACACCACGACAACATTCGAGGCAACATGTCGAAGAACACCACATCACCCTCAGATGGGCTGAATAACGAGACTTAGGGCTTCCAGTTCGCCCGTGTAGTTGCAGAAGCTTTGGAGACCAAACCAGCAGAGGAGAAGGAAAAAAAGGGAGAAGCTGAGTACTCCACAATATCCCATGAGCACGCGCACCATGCCACCCCGCCCGAAGACCCTTTCTGGCCCCCCAGCCGGCGCCAAACCCACTCCACTAACGCGACCCAGCCGCTCCCCCCCCATTCCTCCCGAATGACCTCGGGTCGAGCCCTCCTTTGAGCCACAGGGCCCCCCGCCGCCAGTCTGGCGCGCTGCATCGCCAACGTCGGCGTGGAGAAAATCCGGCTCCACATCGAGCCGCATCGCCAATGCATCGGCGATGCGGCGCGACCCTCCGACCCCATCTTGACGATCCCCAATCTGGGAGGCCTAGACCCGAGCACCGGGCCCCCCCCCGCCGCCAGTCCGGCGCGTAGTCTGCCACGGTCTTGCCCGTGCGATCCGAGTTGGTGGACTTGAACCTGGGGAAACCAAAATGTACGGATACCGCAACTCCCCAAACCTATCCTGGGTCCTGGGATACGTTCTGACCAGGAGTTCGAGGAACAGTAACCGTGGCGACGAAGGCCTCCCAGGAGGCCCCAAAAGTCAAAAACGAGGCAAGGATAGTTGCATCAATACCTGAGCATCGAATAACCGATCCCAATCCCGACGAGCGTGGCCTGGGCCCCACTGGCCTATCTAACCCCCCTAGACGGGGGTGTAGGCGGCTCCCTTCGGGTTTCGAAGGGCGGATCCCCAACTGGGGTGAGGTGGCGGGCTGATTTGGATCGAGATGGGGATGGGACGGGGATCGGTTACAGTGCGCACGCGGCCGCAAGAAACCCAGCCCTGAAGACCCGCGCGCGAGGTGTGACTGGGGGGCAGCCAAGAACACCCAGGACGCAGCAAATTCTTGAACGAAAACGGGGAGGTCACCGCGCAGCGCGCGAAGCGAAGAAACCCAGGGTACCCTGGCGAAAGGCATCTGGCCTCTTGAAGCGCGGCCCCACTGTGAACGATACTGAGGTATGTGCAATTTTCTTCCTCCTCCGAGAACCGGAGCTCGTCCTCCCTCAGGCCGGAGGGCAGCTGGGCCGCTCCTGCCGGCGGCTCGGCCGGAGCACGAGGGCGGAAGGAGGGCGCGGGTCGGGGCGCGAAAGGGCAGGCCACGCAAGGAGACAGGGCACCCAGTCGCCTCGTCATCGGGGAGGTTCCTTCTCCTCCCTTTCCTCCTGCCACTGGCTCCTCTGTCCTCCTCTTTCCCCGTGCTCCTCTTCTCGCAGCTCCTCTTCTCCGCCCCCCTGTTCCATGCCCCATATCCCCTCTCTGCCCCTTCCCTCTCTCTCTCTCTCTTTTCTGTTCCGCTGTTACATGCTCCAAATCCTCCCTTCTCATTCCACTCGCCCGCCCTCTTCGTGCAAACGGAGGGAGGGCGGACTCTGCTTTTCTTGCTTATTTGGCACTCGCATCAGTACCGCACACTGTCGTCATGAACGTACGAGTGCCAATTTTCCAGATGAGCCACTTGCTGGTTTCTTGAACATTGGCGGCTCCTGCTTCAAAAAGATACTCTCGCTAAATAATTCCTGGCATGAGGCTACTGGACAATATGACCATATAGCTTCACGTGTGCACGTAGCAATGACTCGAACGGAGGGCGGCTCCGTGAAAAAGGGAGACGTTACCACCTCGAGGAACGTCGCATCCGCCACCGTACTTTCGGCAGTACTTTGGGGCGTTTTGGAATACGTGTCTGTTGTCTGGTGGTGTGTCTTTGTTGTTTTCTAGGGCCGCCCCCCTGTCGTCTCGCGTATGGTCAAAAAACCGACTCTCCCTCTCGCGTTGCTCTCCAGCGTCATGTTTGGCTTCCAGACGACTCCAACCGTCCGAAACCAGCTGCAATACGCCATAACACAGTCCGAAGACAGCCCAGCGTGCACCACGAAAGGCTACAGGATCAAGCCCCCGAATGGTTACAGAAACAACACAAGAAATTCTCAAGACACGCCCGAAGGGAGGCGCACAGGGAAAACCGAAGTGTTTTGCGCCTGGGGCCTTTTGTTTACATGTCGCCTCGGGAAAACTTCAGAGAGCCCCAAGGAGCCCTCAAGCCGACCTTGAACTGCCCCAGGAGAGCTCCCAGATGGCCCCTTGGGGGCTAAAGACGGACCCAAATACCCGCCCAGACGTACCAAAGATGGTTCAACCAAAACCTCTTCGGGAGAGCTCGGCGGAACCACTGCGCTAGAGACGGCCCTGAGATCCCTGACGGGCTCTTACAACAGGCCCCCGAAAGCTTCAAAGAGGCTCTAAAGAGGCCCCCACGAAGTCTCCAATCCATATTCTAGAGGGAGGCGGGGAAAGAGAAACCGATGGGCAATGAGGGGGAAAAAGGAAGACATATAATAACGACGTTGCTGAAAAGAAGGAGGCACCTAAGACCCGAGCCAATTCAGAGGGAGTGCTGAACTGGAGCGGGCATGAAACTCCTCCTCCTCCTCCTCCTGCCGCGTTCATCGGACGAGCCCCCAGCGGGCCTCCGAAGAGTACCTGCGGGCAGCCCAAGAAAGGTGCTTGGAGATACCTCCGTGCAGAAAAGGAACAGGACTTGGGAGATACCTGCGGGCAGTCCAGGAAATGTACTCGGAGGTACCTGCGGGCAGCCCAGGAAAGGGACTTAGGAGGTACCTGGGTGCAGCCCAGGAAAGGGACCTTGGTGGTACCTACGGCCGTCCCAGAAATAGGTGCTTCGGAGGTGCCTTCGGGCAGCCCAGGAAAGGGACTTAGGAGGTACCTGCGGGCAGCCCAGGGAATGTACTTGGAGGTACCTGCGGGCAGCCCAGGAGAGTTACTTAGGACGCACATGCGGACAGCCCAGGAAAAATACTCGGAGGTACCTGCGGGCAGCGCCGCAACGGTACTTGGGAGGTACCCACGGGCAGCCCAGGAAGCGCAATTAGGGAGGTACCTCCGGGCAGCCCAGGAAGGGTGCTTGGGAGGTACCTGCGGGCAGCCCAGGAACGGTACTTGGAGGGTACCTGGGGGCTGCGGAGGACATGTGCTTAGGAGATGCTGCGGGCTCCCGGGGGTGCTTGGGAGGTACCTGCGGGCAGCCCAGGAACGGCACTGAGGATGTACGCAGGGCCCCCCCCTCGAGACTTGCAGCATGCCCTCCACGGAGAGGAGGCGGGAGGGCCGGTGCGGCGAGGAGGGCGAAGAGGCAGGAGGACGGCAGAAACATACAGAAACCACCGAGGGCGCTCGAGACCCGCTCCAGTCCAGCCAGAGCGTTGAACGTTCGTTTCACGCGTCAAGACCTCAATGACATAATGCCAGCGTTAGATACACGACTATGGAGTCGGCAGGCTGTCCTGCCGCGGGATCGTCATCGCCCCTTCCTCCCTGATAAAACGAAGACGCCTGCGAGGACGAGGGGGGAATGGAAGCACTGAGAGGGTCTCGACCTCGATGCCATTCCTGCTGCGCTGCTGCGCTGCCACGGCGGCGGCATTTCCCGCAGGCAGCTCGATAGCTCGGAGGATGGAGGGCGTTTCGCATGCAGGGCTCACCGGGGGACCCAACCAAGCCTCTTCGGCTGCCCAAGTACTGTACCTGGACCTTAGCGGATGCTGCTGAAGAGCAGGAGGCTCCCGAAGAGCCCCCGAGTCTCCAGAGGCAGCTGGAGTCCAGTGCTGGATCCTGGGGGCCTCCAGGATGCTCACACAAGGCCCTCGGAACCGTCCACAGTAGCACGGACAAGCTCCAGGGAGCTGGAAGCCCTCTGGAAGCCCCCTTGGCATGTATGAAGACTCCCGGGACGGCCTGGGCCCAAAGCCTTTGGATAACCTCTGGCTAGGCGCCCCGTGGAAGCTGTGGGAGGCTTCGCGAAGGCCTACCCGTTCGCTTACCACTTCTGAAGCCCAATGACGCTAGCAGGAAAGATAATACGGAGGTCAGAGTGATCTAACCAAGATAATGGCTAAGCTAGTGTAACGTATACTGGGTTCTGGCCGATTTGACAGAGAACGACCAAAAGGACGGTTGTTGGTTGGTTAGGAAACCTCCTTGGCCCACAACGGAGGGTGTCAAACTAGAAATGCGGCGATTCGCCGGCTCTTGGCCGTGGAGAGCTGATACCAGCCCAGGCGGGCAGAAGGAAGGAGAGAAGAGGCGTGAGGAGGGAGGGGGGCAGGGCAGAGCAGGGTCAGGAAAAAGGAGGGAGGAGCGGCGAGGGAGGGGGATGGAGGAGAGAGGACCGTGGACGCAGGAGGGCAGACGGCGGAGGACGAGTGGGCTGGGGAAGAAAAGGGAGGGGGAGAGTGAGCAGGAAGAGAGGACCGCGCGAGGAGGCAGGGTGGAGGCAGAGGAGGGGAGGGAGGGGAGGGAAGAGTGGAGGGCGGCGAACTTCCCCATCCATCCCCGTCTCCCTCCTCCCTCTGCTCGGCCCTCGTCTTCTCGATCCCTCTTCTCGTCCTCGTCACGTCCTCGTCGTCCCTCCCCTCCACCCCTCTTCTCGCCTTCGTCCTTGTCCCTGGGTCCCCGGGAGCAGTCCGACGTTCCGCCGGCGCGGGCCGGGCGGCGAGGCTCCGGATCTGCCCGTCTGCAGCAGCATGCTGGCTGGAGCCGCCCCCTTCCAGGAGGGGAGTGGGGGGGTGCAGAGGAGGATGGCGAGGATGGGAGGATGCGAAGATGAGAGGTCGAAGGGCGAGGGGAGGGAGGAGTCAGCATGGAAGAGGGCGGCGGGAGGGCGGAGGGAGGGAGGCACGGAAAGGGGGGCATTGAGGGAGAGGGGGAGGGGCAAGGACCGGGGTTGGGGGGAGAAGCGGTGGTCAAGGAGGGGTGTTCTATCAGACAGGAAGAAGGAACAGCAGCAGTAGGAAGAGAATAATGAAAAGGAGGGGGGAGGAGAGGAGCGTCCACTCCTGCCCCTTGTTATCCTCCGTTTTCTTGTCCAAATCCTCGTACTCATGTTCCTCGTCCGTTTCCTCTTCCCCTCAGAAGGGAGGAGGGTGGAGGAGAGAGCAAAGGATGAAGGAGAACCGAAACAGAAGGAGGAACGCGGAAAACAGGGAGAACAGGGGGGATCAAGGAGGAACAGGGCGAAAGAGGAAGGATGATGAAAGAACACGAACGGGAATAACGACGACGGAACAAGTAACACTTGGACGGATGACAAGGAAGACGGACACAGCACACAAAACAACATGTCCCGCCTGGGAACGAAAAAGAACCATGCCCGGGAGGAACCGCGAACCACGGCCCGGGGAATCGAATGCTGTTTGTGTTTGCCAATGGGGCGGGGGGCGGGAGGGGGAACTCTCCGAACGGAGGCAAGATATTGTTTTTGATGTATCGGCGATAACCCCGGGTATCCGATTGGGGGAGGGGCAAGAGGAGTCGGCCGAAAACCTTGGGCAGCCCCACGGATGCCCGCGCGCACCAGCAATGCGTATTCACCCCCTTCGGGTCAGCACAACCGACCAGGTCAGATTATCTGGGTGGGAAGGGCGGGGGGGGGCGGGTCCAATGGCCCAAATTATCGGCGGACCCCCAAAAAACAGTCAACAAGTGGAGCGATGGAGGGACCAAAATTGGGAGCGGGTGAGTGCGTCAAAGAGCAGACCTGGCTGGCGTCGCCGTCGGAAGCAGGACCAACAACAGCAGGAAAAAACAGCGGGGGTAGCGGGCAGCAGCGGGCAGAAACTCGCGGGGCGCATGGTTCCAATATGGCCCCGCGAAGACGCCCCAAAACGGCTCCGAAATGTCCCCTCGGAAGCCTGGACAATAACACTGCACCACCCGAAAGAACTCAGTGATTTTCGCGTTTCCGCCTCTTCGGCTTCTGATGGGCCACCGAGGCCCATCGGAAACTGAAAAGGCCCATGGCCCCCGGATGGATCCGGGATGTTCCCAGCGCGGACCACCCAGGAAAATCGGCATGGAGGACGTGCCATCGCTCGGACATCAATTATCCGTGCATTGTTTGGTTTCGTGCGTGTTGCTATATCTCAAAATGGTCCCAGATAGTCCAGATGTTCTGGCACTTGCCCCGCCGAATGAACGCGCGCGTCTGAGCGATGCTAAGGGACGAGAGAACGGAGGACGTGGGGGGCGCAGGAGTCTGGTTGATCGGCCCTGGCTGGCCTGGTAGAAGGTCTCCAGGATGCTGATGGCCTGCTGCACGGCGGCCAAGCCGGCCTCGGCCTCGGTGGATAAAACACGTTGGGCCGAGGTGGGGTGGGTGGAGTCATGTGGCAATCCCGCGGGAACCTCCCATGTCATCTCGCTGGCTCGGTAGAATCGGCGCTCACCGACGCTAGCCGACGCGAGCCGATGCCAAATCGACACCGGTCGACGCTGAATTGGCGCTCTCTTGCCGATTACCAGACGCAAGCGCAAGCAAGTGTACCCTAAAAACGGAACTTCGAGGACATACAGGGCTCCCGCGATTTGCTGCCGAAATAGAGGAATACTGAGGTATGTCTCTGCCGCGGTCGCAGGGGCACGCAGCGCTTACAGTCGTCAGCCTACGGCCTGAGAGCAACAGCGCAAACGGACATATCATAATTAACACGTCGGACCCCGACATTCCGAATAATACGTGGAGCACGCAGCCAACACCATTTCACGCCAGTGCCCTGACAGAACTGCGCTGGAATCGTAGGAGCAAGGTTGGGTAGCGACCCTCCCCCCCGTGAGTATGAAAAAGGTGGTCAAACGGCCTATACCAGCGCCGAGGAAATATGCAGGATCGCCGAATATGTCGACTACGACGCTGGAGGCCAAAAACTGAAGGCTTTGAATTGTGAGTTCTGCGATTTGGGATTTTGTTGCGCATTGAAGCGTTGGCGCCGCATTGTCCCTAGCGGCGTTTCATGGAGGGGCGAGCACCCCCGTCTGATTTTCCCTCGAGCTGATAGCTTGCAGGCAGACCCTCGTCATGAAAAGTCGCCCTCGTCGCCGTCGTCGTCGTCGTCGCCGTCGTCGTCGCCGTCGTCGCCGCCGCCGCTGTCGTCACCGTCGTCGTCGTCCTCTTCCTCCTCTTCCTCCTTCCCATCCTCCTCCTCCTTCTCCGCCTCCTCTTTCTCTTCCCTCTCCTCCTCCTCCTCCTCTTCTCCTCCTCCTTTTCCCCCTCCTTCTCCTGTCCTCCTCCTCCTGCTGCCACTGGCCTGAAGCCCCCCCCTCGGAAGCATCGGCCCCGGCCGCTACGAATCTACAGAAAGGCCTTTCATGTAGAATGGGCGCGCGTCGCGTACGCGTCGAGAATCCAAACATTGCGTGGCGATCTGTAGACAGCAGCCCGTCGTACATACGTTGATTGTGTGGCCATCTGTTGGAAAAAAGCATCCCCCCCCGATTCGGATCCCCCAACCCCAATTTCCCGTACACAAATTGCTAGACGATCTGTAGAACTGCAGCGTGTCCTGTACGCGTCCAGATTATACATAATCAGGTGGTCAGAGGTGGTCGAGACCAGGGATCATATTTTCAGGAGTCGGTTTCGGGGGCGGCACCAGCCCGCCGAACGAGGCGAAGTCAACAGACTGTCTATTAGCGTGACTGGGGAACTCGTTTCGCCAGGAACGGGGGGCAGGAGCGGGGGCATTTGCGGCGTGCCCCGCTTGGGCTAAAGGGTTTGGGGTTGTTCCGGTTTTCTCGTACCTGCGTTGGCCCAAGCAGTGCGCCATGGATGAGCTGGAGGCCCTCGTCCGCCTCGTGGAAGCGAAGCAGGAGACAGGTCATGACTCGCCCATGAAGTCGGAGCATCTAGATGGCCCCCCATGTCGGTCGGGCCGCTCGGCCATGGCCCCGTCCCCGCCAGATGGCGTCGAGCGGAGGACCATCTTCACCTCCCCTTCGCCTGCCGCCAATAAGGAGGAATCTTCTCCGATGGCTGACGGCGGCGCTGGTGACGGAGATGCAAACGAATCTCGATGCCACGGGTGTTTCTGTCGAGCTGTCTCGCTGGGTCCAAGAAGCAAAACATCAGACATGGACGGTCGCTGGGCCAGAAAATCATACATCGGAGGCGCATCGTGCTCCCAACGCGCCACGCGCGAAACCATCAACACACGAAACACATTCCGCTGGAACCCGACGTCGGTTTCATTGCAAGACGCGGGGTGCAAGACAAACCCGCCCTCCCGAAACGCGCAATATGACATAATCTGCGTTTCAAGATGGCGGCAATTGAATGGTTCTCCAGACTGTCATGGTTTCAGGGAGACGCAACTACCCAAGAGCACAGAGGCCCCGGGAACACCACGAACAGACGAGATTAACCGCGATGCAAAGGATCCGAATTCGGCGCTGCATATGACTCCAGGTTCGCTCTACGGAGTATTACGCCCGTGCGGCATGCCCAACAGTACACACAAGGCATGCCTTGTGCATTATGTGTCCCAGCGTCGACACCAAAGTCATATGCATGGGTGCTCCTCTGCCACGCAATGCAACCTCAAAGTGTGCGTTCATCGCACGATACGCTGTTGCTCTCATGCTGCCCTGAGAAGGCTCACCCGAAGCTCACCGAGGCCCCCGAAAAGCCCCCGGAGGCACCAAATCACAAGCGAACTCCCAGACCTCTAGAGGCACGCTGGACGCTCCAGTCCGGCAGCCCCCCGCCCCCCCACAAGACTCAGTCTCCCCCAGCGGTTCACCTGCTACAGCTGACAGCTTCGGACGCGCAAGGAACCACAAGGAAGGCATGTGCCAGTGAGACCCGCTGCCGTCGTGAGAACGCCCCCCTGCAGTCGAAATAGCCCTCCCCTCCCCAGCCGCCGAGGTTGAACCCTCCCCCGTCATCGACAGAACTTTCGCCCACAATCGAGCGAGGCCTTCCTCGCAATGCTTGCCTTTCTCGCACAGCCGGCCCCATGGAGGGGCTCCCGGGGTTTCTAGAGGCCCTCAGAGGTCCTCGGAGGCATCTGAAGGCTTCCAGAGGCCCCCGACGCTCAAAGATGTTAAAAGAAATACAACAACTCCATCCTCGATCCCTCCACAGACATCCAACTTCGTGTTCTGTTCACCACGGGCCTCTTGCAGTCCCGACCAAATCCAAGGGACTGGCTCGTCATCCCACATCGTGTTTGTTCATGTCCTGGAGCCCGAAAGCATGCGTATTCAACTCTTTCTGCTACTTATTTTCCTCCTCCTCCTCCTCTTTTCACAATTTTCATCATCAGCATCACTATACCTCGTATCCTTCTCATCTCCTTCTCCTCCTGACCATCGTCGTCACCTCATCATCGTAATCATGATCCTCATCCTTACCATCGCGGTCCTCATCATTACCATCTGAATCCTACACCACCTCCTCCTCCATCTCCTCCTCCTTCACGTCTTCCTCCTTCTCCTCCTCTTCCCTTTCCTCTTCCTCCTACTCTTCCTCATGTTCATCCTCTTCCTCCTCACAAGAATCATCATCATCCTCATCATCCTCATCATCATCATCATCACCATTAGCATCACCATCATCAGCATCGTCATCACCATCGTCATCATTATCATCATCAACACAACCACCACCACCATCATCATGATCAGCATACTCGTCATCATCATCATCAGTATCAGCAGCACCAGCATCATCATCAGCGACATCATCATCAGCATCAGCATCAGCGTCACCACCATCATCAGCAGCATCATCAGTATAATCAGTGTCATCAGCATCATCATCCTCATCATCATCCTCATCATCATCATCTTCACCGACATCAGCATCATCAGCAAGCAGCAACATCATCAGCATCATCAACGGCATCAGCAGCATCATCATCATCGTCGTCACCATCATCACCAGCATCGTCATCAAATTCAGCATCCGAAGTATCATCATCATCAGCATCATCATCACCATCGGCGTCGTTATCGTCAGTATCAGCATCATCAGCATCCTCACCCTAAACATCACCACGATCATCACCACGATCAGCAGCAGGACCGTCATCATGATCAGAACAATCATCATCATCCTCATCATCCTCCGCATCATCAGCATCATCATGAGTATCAGCATCGCCATCATCATCACCGACGTCATCATCATCACAGTCAGCATCATCATCACCATCAGTATGATGAGTATTATCATCATCCTCAACCTCACGATCAACGTCATCGTCACCACCATCATCACCGTCACCATCACCATCACCATCATCGTCATCACCACCATCCTCAGTGACCTTCTCTCATCCTCTTCATCCTCAACAGCATCACAAGCATCACCAGGGCCATCATCGTGGCCATCACCATCCTTATTCCCAGCCTCATCCTCTTCTTCGCCACCATCCAAAATCACCATATCACCATATCACCATCACCATGACCATCACCATCATCATCATCATCACCATCACCATCACCATCATCATCATCATCATCATCAGCATCATCATCACCATCAGAATCACAACCATTATCATCACTATCATCATCACCACCATCATCATCAACAACAACATTATCATCACCACCATCAACAACATCATCATCACCATCATCATCGGCTGCCTCCTCCTCGCCCAGGCAGCCCGAAGCAGCCCCCCCGCTCCTCTCGCCTGACTGGGCCCGGGAGTGGGGCGGGCCTGGTCTGGCAGGGCACGGGCCAATGGGAGGGAGGGGGGGAGGGCCTGGACATCCTTCCGCTCGAGAATGAAAGGACACATGTTTTCCACACTCTTCGGTGTCTGGAAAGAGGGCCACTGGCAGGCGAGGTGAGGCCGACCACCCGCCGATCGCTGTCATACCCTTACTGCTCATGTGCCTGTCGAGGCGTCTGAAAACAACTGTCCGAACTGTGCAAGCACATGTGAAGTCCCAAACCCGGATAGCGGAGCAGTCCAAAGAGTGTGCAAGCTTGTAGGCGACGATTACAAGCGCGCTAGGAAGGCTGTCTGGGCAGCTTGCGAGCCTGAGAAAGGAGCTTCGCAGGAGCCCAGGAAGAGCTTCGAAGGAGCTGCAGAAAAATTTGCGGCAAACGTATTGGGAACGAGTAGGAAAACGCTTCCGGAACACGCTGAAAATTCAAGCAGGTCGCTGCAAGGATTCTGGACCAGCGCCGGACGGAGCGGCGGGGTTACCCTGTGCTGCCGGCTTCTAAACCGAAGCCCTCTTAGCTCTCAGAGAGCTATCCGGGAACAAGATGCCCAGGAAGGGCCCGAGGTCTTAGGGACCATGCAACGACAAAATGGATGCTTGCCTCTGGGGAGGGGAAGGGGGAGGTGGGGGAGGGGGACGAGGACCGAAGATCGAAGATTATCTATGTGTTCTGACGTTTTGGATTGATTTCGGGCTTCCCAGGGCCTCCGTGGGGGCCTTTGCACTTCTGACAAACCCCGGGGAGGTCAAGGAAACCTCCAGAGGGGTGAAATGCGTGTGTTTGAAATCTTCTGATCCATTTTGGGCCTCCAGTGACCTCGGGCATCTTCGGAGGCCCCGAGGTGAGGTGAGGGGAGGGCAGGGAGAGGACAGGCGCCAGAAATCCCCCTGCTTCCATCTCCACCTCGCAGCCTCTCCACCTCGCTCTAAGTTCCTCTCCCCCCCTGCCCTCGCACTCTGCCACTCGCACTCCCTCTCCATCCTCTCTCCCCGCCTCTCCCACATCCTGCCTGACTCCCTCCCTCACCCCTGCGCGACGCGATGGATGAGCCTCACTCAGAGTCTTCGCGTTCTCCGCAGACTCGGCGGCGCGCAGCTCGGTAGCCTCCAGCAGCCCCTGGGAGGCGCGCTGGATGGAGAAGATGGCCCCGCCCCGCAGGCGATTAGTAAGTTGGGCCAGCAGACGAGCACGATTCGGAATTGGAGAGCACGCGAGCTGTGCAGCAGAAGAACAGCAGGTGCAACCTTCGGGTGTGGAGAAGGCAGAGGGGAGAACGGTGACCCCGTCGCCCTCGCGCAGGGGCTGGCGGCGCCCGTCGGGAGAGCCCAGCCTGCGGTGGAGCTGGACCACGCGAGGCGGCCGAATGGCAAGAGGGGGTCGGATGCACAGACGGGTGGCAAGGGCGGGCGGGTAACGGGAAAGAGGGGGATGCGAAAAAATAAGACGGAGATGAAGTGAGGGCACTGGGTCAGGGTGCCTGCTGCCCAGCCCCCAAAAGAGCGATATCCTTCTTGTTTTCCGCGATCTGCGTGCTAAGCGTTGCGATGTCCATAGAGAGCTGCGACGCCTCCGCGGACTTGATGGTCTTATCCTGGAAGCGACGTGGGACGAAATGCCGATCTGCATTATCTGCATGGTTGCCAAAAGGAAGGGCAGGGAAGGGAAGGGAAGAGAATTGGGGAGCATTGAAGACGGGTCCGTCAACGGGGCCCTGGACCTGGGTGCCGTCCCCCGCGACCAGCTGGTCGTCTCGAGCTTTTTCTGACAATCCCGAGGCCCGTAGAGGGAGGGCCCCGACACCCGAAACGGCGAAAACTTCAGGTTCCGTTTCCCTCAGAAGCCGCTTGCTTCATGGCGAGTGAAGGAGGCAACGCGGGGAGCACAAACAATCGACCATCGGTCCTCGCCCAGGCGGGCGCCGCAAGCTTCGAGAACGGATCCCTGACCCCGGACGTCGTGGTCGTTGTTTTCATAGCGCGGGATCCCGGGGCAAAACCGAAAACCGAGAGAGCCCCAAGATGGCAGCAATGGGTCCCAGGAGGCCCCACGAAGGCTGCAAAGGCTCGAACAGAGCCCCAAGACAGCCCCTGTGACGATTGCAGACGAAGTGGCGGAACACGCAGTTCACTAGCGTGGCTGCACTTCCGGTCCACGTTTCACGACACAGGCGCTTCTACCTCCGGCAAAAGTGCAAAGGCAGCGGGCGGCGGTGACTTGTAGTAGGCGTCTTCGATCTGCCGCCCCGTGTGCCCATGTGTTTGTGACATGAACGTTTTGCGAGCCAGAGAAAGAAACTGTTTTCGGCCCCATTTCCACAGGCCTTCGGTCTGGCACGCCGGGACCGAGAAACCCACCACAATCTGCAGGACATCAAAAGAACTCGCCTCCAATATGGCCTCGATGGCCCAGGAAGGTCCCAGATGGCCTCCAAGGCGGCCCCAACAGGTCCCACGACGACCCGACAAGGCTCCCAAGACACCCACAGGGATGACCCCCAGGAGGTCCCAACAGGCAATGCATCATTGACTTGTTCTCGCGTTTTCAGTTTCTTCGCCTCAATTTCCCACCCGACAGGTTGCGGTTGTTATACTTCAAGAACAGACCCCCGGCCAACCCAACGCATACCGCGGCCGCCAGACCCCAAGTTGTCCCGAGAGTCCCCGAGAATCCCTGGGACTCCCGCCTCGCGCCCTCGACAAAAACGACTGCATACCACAGCCGCCAGACCCCAAGTTGTCCCGAGTCCCCGATAGTCCCTGGGACTCCCGCCTCGCGCCCTCGACAAACACGACTGCATACCGCGGCCGCCAGACCCCAAGTTGTCCCGAGTCCCCGATAGTCCCTGGGACTCCCGCCTCGCGCCTTCGACAAACACGAAAAACACAGCAATACACAACATAACATTACATAACATAACACAGCAATACCATGACAAGCACAGCGTAATATAACATTACGAAGCACATCATGGCAGAACATTGCAGAACAGAACACGACATAACACACCCATAACTGAGCATCCAAAAACACTCATTGAGGGAACACATCATGTCATGACACAGCGTTCAGAACATGCCAGAACACACCAACATAGCATAGCGACCATCACGACATAGCACAACATGTCACAACATAATATAACATAACAAACCACGATCATGGCATAACATGACGGAACATCATATGGCAGTATAATCACAACACAGACCATGTACTAACATCACAGAGCATGCCCTTTCATATTATGACAGAATAACACACAATAACATAAAGAACACGACAGCACATATCATGCCATAACATGACAGAACAATGCATGGCATGAGATAACATACCATAACATAACATCACATATCAAGCATGATATGGCATAAAATAGCAACTCATTACACACTACAGATAACATCACAATACATACAGTTGCATAACGTGACAGAACATAACGTGCAATAACAACCCATAGCATAACCGGACCGATCATAACATAACGCACCTCGATGGAACATAGCATATCACGACACAGCGTTCAGAACATGTGAGAACACGCCAACATATCATAGCGACGAACACGACAGAACACAACACGTCACAAGCTAAGATAACATTACATAACGCGCCCATGGCATAACCTGAGCAATAGCATTACAATCCATTCCATGCTATAACATCACAGAACGCACCATATCTTAGCATGCACCACGTAGCAGGCATACTACGACATAGTATAACATAGCATGACATGCCCTGACACAACAATGTATTTCATGGAAGAACAGAGCACACCATAACGTCCCATCACAAACCCCATCATAACGTCACATAACAGAGAACCACATAACATCAGATAACAAACCCAACCAGAGCACAATATAACATCACATAACAAACCAACACCAGGCCTGACCCCCAGTTGTCCCGAGAATCCCCGAATCCTTGCCGCCGCCCCGCTGCGGGCGGCCTCCTCGCCTGCGTCCCTCAGTCTAGAAGTGGGAAAGGGGGGACAAGGAGGAGGGGAAGGAGGCATGGGGCAAGAGGTGGGAACCGCTCGAAGTAAATATGTTGTTGCCTTCCGACAGCCAGCCCAGAAAATCCCAAACATCGCTCCAATACAACCCAAAGGCCACCAAGAGGGCCAGCAGAGCGCTCCAACACGGCTCAAACGTGTTCCCAAACAGCACTCAAAGCCCCGAAAGAAACCAAAGACGGCCCTAAGAAACCGTCATGACGACCTCCGAAGGCACATCTCGGCCCAATCGCGCCCTGAGACAACCCCACGACAAAACGGGCCCTATGTGGCCTGGCCCTGACAAGGCCCCAAAGTACAGACAATAATCCGTCAACGGCCTTGGATTGACCGCCCCCCTTAATTAGCCGCGTCTCAATGCATACACCGCCCCCCTCTTGAAGCCGAGATCCCCGGACCCAGAAAAACATGGGCCCACGCTGTCGAACCCACGGTCCCTCGTTAAAAAGCAATGGATCCACGCTCCGACATTCCCAGACGGCCACTGAGGCAATCGAGGACACCAAGATGTCCCGAAATGCCCGACGACGGCCCAAAATGGCCCCAAAGCTGCCACATATGGTTTCGCGACGGCCCAAAATGCTCCAAGGCCCCAAACGGCAAGGCGCCCGTCGCCGTTACTTCCATCCTTGCCTGGGCCGCCCGGGCCTTCCTCCGTCAGCGCGCCAACCAAAACGAAATTGAGCAACGTCGTAATTGATAGGAAAAAACCCCCTTCCCTTTGATCTCCTTCCCGCCGGGGGAGGGGAGGGGGGCCCCCGGCCCGGTCGGGGGGAGGGGGCCCCTGGGGGGAATCCCCGGGGGGGGTCTCAGGGGGGGTCCGGGGCGGGGCCCGGAACAGAGTCTTCCCTCCTGAAGGTGCCCTGGAGGCGTTTTACGGGAAGCGTTGTGCCAATTCTCCGCCAGGAAGGGAGCTTTCGCAACCGGATTATACGGCAAAGCGTGCTCGTGTTCTTCTTGACGATCTTCTCTTGAAGTAATTAGCTCCTGCTCAAAATCACACGACGTTATGCGATGTACTTATTCTAGCCTTCAATAGATGCGCCGTCGAGCTGAGCTAAGGCCCCAATGAACAGAGAAAGGCCCGGCCGGCGGGCGCGCGCGCGGCGGGCGGGGCGATCCTTTTCACGAGACCGAAGCCGAAACAGCTTCGATAAGTCAACGATGTCTGGCGGCGGCGGGACATCGATGCTGCGGCAACGCAGAGGGGGTGACTATATCATCCCACCCCGCGGCCTCCGCGGCGAGCTCCACTCGCCAGAGTGGGCGCTAGCGATTTGTCAGCGCCCCGAATTGTTCTCATGTAGCGGCTCGTCGCGCCGTGCCCGGAGGGCAGCTCGCCCACTACCTGGCTCGCAGCGCTCCGAGACGCTCTGCGCGTAGCGCGGACGCGTCGATGGGGACGCTCGCAGCAGAGCTGCGAGCGCCCCTCGCCCACTTCCACTCAGCCCCGACTAGGGTCGCCACGGCCCCGGCTGCTGCGGCCGTGCCAGTTGCCTGTGTCGCAGCTCCAAAACGACCGCCAGCTGTCGGCGTACTCGCGCCACGGCGGAGTGGAATCCGCATTCGGCCGCTCGTCTCTCTCTCTCTCTCTCTCTCTCTCTCTCTCTCTCTCTCTCTCTCTCTCTCTCTCTCTCTCTCTCTCTCTCTCGGCCGGCGGCCCCGGCGCCGCGGCAGAGCTCGACGGGGCGTCGCCCGACCTTGGGCGCATGTCCCACCGCGTCGGGATTCTGCGCGGCGACGCCGAGATTCCCGTCGATCGTCTGGCGCGCGACTACTTCGCCCCTGTCTTAGCTCCTTGACCGCGACCTCTGGCCACTGCGCCCACGCCTTCGACATCGCCGGTCGTTCTTGCTGCCGCGAGGCGGCCCTATGGCCGCAAGGACTTGGGCTTCTTCTCACCTTTGGCTGACTGCGCTCTGGGGCAGGCACCCACGCTGACATTGTCAGAGGGAGACCGGGCCCCAGCTTCCGCGCGATCGGCGCCGGCGGCGCCGGGAATTCCACTTGGGGCCAGCGCCCCTTCACCCCCATCCCTCGGCAGCTCTCAAGGCAGCGGGCAGCTGGACTACGGCGCTCCGCCCAGGCTCGACGCGCCGCCCAGACCAACCCATGCCGGGCTCGTCGAGGTCGCGTGGCTCGAGGATGGCGCAGCCCCCCTCTTTCGTAATCATCCTGCAAATGCACGGCCGCATGTCCTCGGAGGAACGACTGGGCTGCTGCGGGTAGCGGGCGCCTGGAGATGTAAGTTCTGGAACTTGGTCCACATTTGCCGCAGCTTCTTGGCCTTCCCCAGTTGGCATGGGCTCCGTTGCCCCACCAGCTCGTGGTCGGCGGACTTTGGCTGCCAGGCGAAGACCGCCGCGATGTTGCCATGGGGCGCGGTCTCGCCCTGCAGGCTCTTCCAACGACGGTCGGCGATGCCCTCTTCGCCGGCGACTTTCCATATGTCGTGCGGACGTACTTGCGCGTTCTGTCTCCCGACCTTTCAATCGCCCCCCCGCGCTCTGCGCCTCGGAGCGGGGGGCGGGGCCCCCGCGGGCCTCGCGCTTGGCCAGACCGAGATC